ACTCCTGCTTCTTTACAACAGCCAGCAGAAATACACAGCACAGTTTTCCACACCATTGTGCCTACCAACATTTTTCCACAACTCCCTCTCTGTCTTTCTGCTCAGTTCAGTAACACTTCCCATTACAATAAGTTCATTCCCTTTACCCAGTATGTATTTTACTCTTCAGATTCCATTTTTGTCTTTTAGGTTCTCACACTAAGGAGACAATAGGATGTTTTCACATGTGGGTCTGATTTATTTCACTTCAGAGTATGGTCTCTAGTTGTATCAATTTATGGAAGAAAGCCTCCATTTATACTGTTTTATAGCTGAATAACACTCCTTTATGTAAAAATTACACATCTTCCTCTATTGCTCAGTTTTGGACATGTGGGTTGTTTCTCAGATTGAAGAACAATGTAAAAAAGAATTAGAGCGCAAGAAGAATTATAAAAGACGTTTATGTTGGTTCACAATTTTACCTTATTGTTTGATGGTTCCAAGGCAGCAATGCATGATGAAAAGGCCTGCATGCAAAAATCTTCTCTCAGCTTCCAATATACAGAAAGCAAATGAAGAAGCCAGGAAGGGAGATAAACCTCCTGGTGATGCCCATAATGCTCCATCTCCTTTAGCCAGTCCTCCTTCTCACATCAGGGCAGCTCTAACTCCTACATAACTCAGTCATATTCCAAATATGTCCAGGCATTAGGGATTATTTTAAGAGAAAAACACAACTTCATATTTCTAACTTGAAATTTAAACTTTTACTCCATCAACTACACTGGATTCAGATGAATCCATGCTCCAGTGTTGACTCAGAGCACAGCATTCCACAAGCCTTTGATATACTTTTTCTCAGAGTCATTGAAAGTTAGGAATAGTTCATACGTAGAAGTACTGGCATAAAAGGGACTCAATATTGAAGAAGGAAATACACGAAAATTCACATGAGGGTGAAAGATGTAGCTCAGTGGCACAACACTGTCAGGTAAGCACAGGGTCCACATTTTCAGTCCCAGTACTAGAGAAGGAACAAGGAAGGAAGGAAGGAAGGAAGGAAGGAAGGAAGGAAGGAAGGGAGGGAGGGAGGGAGGGAGGGAAGGAAGGAGGGAAAGGGAAGGGAAGGGAAGGAAAGGCAGGCAGGCAGGCAGGAAGGCAGGCAGGCGGGCATTAATAAGAATGCACAGTAGTCTAGACTCATCCTGAATGTCATGTTACCTTGATAAAGCAATACTGTATTTTAGTTTACTGTAAAATCTATCAAATATTAGATCAAATTGCATGTGAGGCTTACATGAGTATGCTTGTGAGAAGAACATAATGTACAAAGTACTAGGAAAATGTTGACTGTTATCCATCCTTATCAGATCAGGGCCTTGGAACCTCATTTTATGATACTTCAATTATATAAAAGAAACTTATGCTTGTTAGCAAAAGAAAAAAATCTAGTCTGTGGGGAAGGAAGAAGCTGAGGGAACAAAATAAGAGTGTTGGATAGAGATGGAGAGAGAGGTTCCTCCCTCCATGAAGTGGGGATTTTGTGCCCAGATTCTAATTCAAGAAACACAGCCTGAAATATCTACTGAGAGTATGAAGAGGGGTCCAATTTTAAGGGAGAAATGAATACTTGCGTGAGCAAGAGTCAGGGAGTACTGAGGGGCAAAAATAATCAATTGGAACACATGAAATTCCCTGAGAAAACAAAAGCTGTATGCCTCTGGCTAGGTGATTTGTCCATGGAACCAACCCATTACTAGCTGATGCTTTCTGGCAAATCTGTTGGCCCAGAGATCTTGTATACCTATAAAACCCAGAGAATCTCCAGGCAACACTTGAAAGAAAGAAAACAGACATCCTAAACCTCAGGTAGTTTGGGGGTGGGCAACCCTGGCTGGGTCAGGTTATTTTTTAAATGAAGTGTCTAGATGACAGTTGGGTGCGCATGTGCCAGGAACTCTGCTCCTGATTGGCTCCTGGTAACCAGGCTATCATAGGAAACATTCCAACTGCCTTCCTGCTTTCTAAGAAGACAAGGCAGCAGCAATGGGCAACTGCTGGGGCTGTTTGGGGGCATCCTTAAGAAAGGATGCTCCCAAATGGCATCGACTCAATTTATTGAGTAAGTGTGTGATGCTCCAAGGGAGAGAGGTCACAGATGTGGGGACGCTCTTTTCATGGGAAGCTCTTAACTATAAATTCCCAGAGCCCTGGGAGGCAATGAGCTCCTTCTGTCCAGTGGTTGGCTTTCTCAGGCCTAGGCTCTGGTGACATGGATTGTAGGCTGACTGTGCCTCCTTTTCCCACATTTTTCTCCCTGTCTTCTGAGTCCAGGGTCTTTCTTCTCTACACTAACACCTAGGACTTGATCGTTTTTATTCCCATATCTCATTCTGAATCCTTCATGTTAAGAACTCTGTACCTTGTCCTATGGAAATACTCTGGATTTTTCTTTCTTTTTTTTTTTTTGTTATATTCATTCTCTTCTCTCAAATTCAAATAATGCACCACACTCTTATCCAGACAGTTTCCCTAGCCTTACCTAGACTGCCACCTAAGTCAAAGGGACAGGTAATATCTGAGTCTTCTGTTGCTCATGCCATTTAAAGCAGGGATGCTCTAACTATTCAAATCCAAACACTTGAAGATTTCTTAGGTAAATTCAGGTAGAACTTGCCATAGAGGTTCATACACTATTTTTTAACATTGTGTCTATAGAAAATGTTTGCTTCTTTCTACCTCAAATTTCAGTTCAGCCATATAATTGTGGGAGGAGCACTTGAATTGTGTATGATGTTAATTGGGCACAAAAGGTTACTATTGTCCCCTTTGTTTGCCTTCAGAGTTGTGCTTCCATCACGTTTCCCTGTTCAAAACTATAATCTTTTTTGCCTGTTCAAGGGACAGTTCATGTGGATCATGAGAGCATGGGATCTGATCAAAGTTTCAAAAGAGAAATCATCAATTTAGAGGTCAATTAGAAAAATAAACCTGGGGCATTCATGAGGCATATCTTGCCATCCCTGGGATTTTGCTGCCTCCCTTCTCCTCCCTTCCTCACCCACCTGCCAGTAGAATACAACACGACTGCTAAGGATGTTATTGTGAAAGGAACCTGCTGCAGGGAAGAAATGAAATCTTTGATTTGTATCATTAGAATGTTGGGCAGGGATCATTGTAGGTAAAACCAATTGTGAGTTACAAATTGGCGGCTGAATGAAGACTGTATTGTTTCCCTTGCAGAATGCTGGGGATTAAACCAAGGCCTTTGCACCAAGTTCTATATGCCCCCGTTTTTAAAATGTATTCTGAGATATATATATATATATATATATATATATATATATATATATATATCACTGAACTTGTCAGATTTGACTGAACTTGGCAGATACAAAAGTTTCATTTCTTCTTATATAGGGCTTATTTGATCTGATCTTAACCATCCTGCTGAAGACTATAAAATTAGGTATAAAAATAGAGCCATATTAATAGGCTTAGCTGTAAAAGGTTCAAGTTAAGAATTTCTGACATTGACAGTCCTACAGATAACCCACTATTATTATGGATACTAGACTATGTGGGATTATTTTGCTCTATTCACGCACCTAAAATATTTAGATGGCAAAGGAGTACCCACCTCTGACAAAACAAAACAAAAACAGGGGATATAAATGAAGGACCATTTTTTAATGTAATATACATTACACATATATTTGTATATACAAAATAGGGAGATAGATATACAGCAACTTTCTTTAAATTCACTGAGTAGAAAGATTTGTACTATTAGTGTTTGGTCAGGATATCTTGTCTGTATCTTGTACTATGAATAACTACTATGAAGACAACAATATGCAATGTATTAATTATTGTAACTGTCCTACTAACCTCTTTGGGGGCTGGGGAAATGGCTTAGTAGAATAAGTGCTTGCCTGGAAGTGCAAAGGTCTGAGTGCAGTCCCTAGTTCCACCAAATATTGAAAAAAAATCAATTTTTTTTCAGCTGGGGGTATAGCTCAATGGAATAAGCGCTTGCTTAGATAAGTGCAGGGGCCAGAGTTCAATCCCTGGATCTGCATGCCACACTGGCATCGCCCACGGGTTTGCTGAGTCTGTAGTGGTGTCCAGGCATGGTGGTGCTGGCCTATAATTCCAGTGCTACGGAGGCAGAAATCAGAAGAATCACTACAAGTCTGGGCTGTGTAATGAGACCCTGAACCAAAACAAACAAGGAAACAAACAAACAAAAAACCTGCTAACCTGTTTAGAAACAGTCTCATTGCTATTTGTTTCTCAATAAAATAAAAAATATGAAATATGTGGTATTTCTGCACAATGCAGTATTACTCAGCTATAGAAAATATAAATTGGAGGCTTTTGTAGAGATAAATGGAATGAGCTACAAACTATTTTGCAAAGTGAAATAAATCAGTTCTACCACGTGCAAACATTGTATTTTCTCACTCTCCCAGTGGTGAATTGTATTATCCCTTACAACACCAAAACAGTTGTAATCAAAGTTTCAAAATCTGTTTTCTAGTGTAGAAATAACACAGAGTCTCAATTTCGCTCCAAGATGGAATTAAGGGCCAAAGAAAAAAATCAATGCCGTACGTAGGCTTGGAAAGTGACACGCTTGTTAAAAACGGTTTCTGTTTTGGATGTGAGAGTTCTCTTACTGAACACAGCCATAATTAGCCACAAGATGGACTGTCTAAAGAATGTTAGCTGCTTTAAAGGATTTGGTGCTTTGAATGAGGATCCGACAGTGCATTCAGGTCAGGGCTTCCTACTCAGAAACCTGGAATGTGCTGGCAATAAGCACAGAAGCCTCTGCTTGGATCTTTACTGGATAAGTAGGAGGAGGGACAGAATGTGCTCATCTAAAGGTCCATTTCATTCACTTAAAAGCTACAATCAATTCTTCGGATACAAGTTCAGGATAAGTGTAAGACATTGCCTATATGACTTCATATATGCGAAGGGATATAGAATTTTACATTACTTTGTAGCCTTGAAACCGACTTGTTCACTTCTCATAGCTAAAATCTATTCCCCACACTATTAAACATGAGAAAAGGTGATGTATAGTGCTGTTGAAACCACCTACTTTTCTACTGACCTAAATGATCACATCTTTTCCTTTTCCTTTCTGGATGTAGCTTTGGAATCAAACCCTTCTGATCATCTAAAGGAAACACCAATCTTCCCAAGCAAATGTCAATCGTATGGTAAGAATGACTTTTCCAATGAAGGGTAGATCTGAAAACTGTTGCTATGTTATATGATATATTTTACAAATTATAAGGAATTATACACTACTTTCAAATTTTCAACTTTTCATACATTCATTTTCCTTTTAAACCCTGATTATATATTTTCTTTAAATGTCACTGTATAATTGAGAGCTTATTACATTTTATTACATTTTATCTTTATTACATTTTGCTGGCTCTTCAGCAGGACCACATTAGTAACTTAGGGTTCACATGATTAGACAAATTTTTGCATATTATTTTGTTCCTTTTCTATTTTTCTTCAGAGCATATTTTAAAGAGAAATGATATTACTTAGGTAACCCTAAAATAGTCATGTCAAGAAAATTAAAATTCATAGATAGACACAGGTAGCTATAGAAAGAGATGGGAATCCAGTGGAGAGATATATTAAATCATCATCTTAATCCACTACAAGAGTGCCATATTCGTGAGCTTACCTGATATAAAATTAAAGTTTTATGAATGTTCCTAAATATTTAAAGCTGGTCAAAACTAACTGTTATTAATAAAAAATCTGGAAACAAATTCCTCTGATATTTCCTAGAATGTCAGGCAATTTGAGTAACTATTGGAAAATTATTGACATTGATTCCTGTTTACATTAGGGTTAGAATCAGATGGCTATGGATATATCTGCAAACATAATTGTTCTTCATGTGTGGTTAAATTGTCTGGTTTCTTTCATTTTGTTTTGTTAAAAAAATAATATATCACATTTGCTAATTGATTGTAAGAGGTATTATTTCAGGAATGGAACCTCTAAAATAATTGGAGTAATGTTAAACAAGAAAATGGGGATTCTTACCTGCATTTCCCTTTGTGTCCAACTAAAAGAAACTTTCTTGAGCTGGTAATTTCTGGTTAGCATGACTGTGATTGTCCATTTCTTTAGGAGCTGTGGGATTTGGCGAGATAGTTGCACACTCTAATCAGCTGCCTGGCAAGCACAAGCACCCGGGATCAATCCCCAGTACCACATGCAGTGAGAGCCCTAGAAACCGAAGGTGTGCTGTGTCAGCCACTGAAACTTGGCATGGAGCCCAGGGCTGTTAATCCCAGTGCTGGACAGACTGAAACATCAGGGTCCCTTTGAGTCCAAGCAGTGTAGCAAGACCCTAAAACAAATAAATAAATAAATGATTAAATTGATTTATTTAATATTTAAATCTCATTATAAGAAAGAAGAAAGCTATAGACATTGCTTGTGTAATGTATCCGATGCACTACAAGCCGACCTGTGCTCCTCCTTTTAGGACACAGGACTTTGCAGGCAGCAGTGTGTAGCAGTAAAGAAGGCATCGTGGGAAACACCGTGGCCCATGTCACTCAGGAAGCATTTACTTTATGGACTCTATTAGACCAAAATGAATTTCATTGATAAAGATAAGTTCAGTTAGATTAGCACACTCATTGAAAGTTTCCTATATAAGGTGGACTGTTGTAGAATTATATAAAGACATGCCAATATTTTTAGTTATGTATTTTCAGTACAATATCTTTGTACTAAGAAAGGGAAAGAACTTGTTCAGTGGGAAGGAACAACTAGATGAGGAAATGGACAAAAGATAGAAGGGAAGAAGACATTTATGTATACCTATACGCGGTAATGTGGATAATTGTACTGCCAATTTAGTTTGATCTTTGAAAGGAAGTGAATGCTTAAAATATGGTATCTTTAGATTTTTGTTTCTTTTCAATTTCTTATAAAGCTATTGCTGTTTCATTCTGTTTTGCTTTTTTTTTTTTTCATTTTAACGAATTTTGCATGTTTATACCTGGAAAACTACATAACTATTTGGAAGACAACATGATTCAATACAGCAACATTTGTTGAATCCCTCATACTTTGTTTGGTGACATTTTATCTTTCTAATGCTTTTTCTTTTTCTTTTGGCTACTTTTATTCTGTAAAATAAATACTCACGTATGTCATCGTAGATTTCCAATAAGGTAATCCAAGATGCTTCCAGCAATTCTAGTTCCGATGGGGGTAGTGCCTAGCCAGAAACTTGGTCTCAGAACTGTCTGCAGTTGGCTGCTTCTCATTAAGTTTTATGCAAATTTCAAATTATGAAGTATTCTTTATTTATCTGACAAGTCTTTGTAGTGGTTGACATGTGCAATAAGTGAACTTTCTTAACCAAATTTCTCACCTGTTCCTATTTGGTTTATGGTTTTCTTTTTTATAAGGAGAGTCTATTGCATAATGCATAAAGTTGATATAAAGAAGTTTTAACTACATTTTTATTTTTACTTTATGGAATTCATCTTCACAAATATGCATTTTTAAAAATAAAATAGATTTTAATTTCTTTCTAGGTATTCAAAATCTATCACACACATGCTTAGAGCCACTTCTATATAGATTTCTAAGGCATTTATATTAGAATGGATTACTTACGGTTTTTCACTTTTGATTTTTAGCCCATGATTGGAAGCAGAACACCACTTTGAAATATGTAAGTAAATATTGGGAAAGGTAAAAAATATCACAATGAATTAAATTATCTCTGCTAGAATTTCTAAAAAATATAACGAAGGCACTGTGTATAAACAGACTTATTTTTTTGCATGTACTAAATACGTGCATTGTCTAAAGATGTTTCAAATTTGCTCAGAAAAGTCTTGACTTACAAATTTCAAGCTTTAAGAGCAACTGGTATTTAAATTCCATTGCTTCAAGTTCAAGGGCCTGAGTTAAATCCACAGTTCCACCAAAAACAAAAATAAATAAATAAAATTCCATTGCAATTACATGAGCACAGTGTTAACTATCTACCTGAAATCTGTTGTCTTATTTTTTTACAGTGCTTGAAAAATTATAAGTAAACAGTTTAATATATCAGGTGTTAGCATTATACATCACTTACTCTTTCCATCACAGTATTTCCAACTTAGTGCAAATGTATGATAAATTTTCAATTAAATAATTGATTAATATTTATGAATATCATGACTTCTGAGTTATGCAATATTTACAGTGTGCTGTCCCTTTTTACACCTTGTTTCTCTAAATGTTTCTGAAATCGGAGAACTTTCTGCATTTCTCCCAGATCATCCCTTCCCTAAGCAAAATTAGCTCACAAAGCCCAGTGAAAAATTAAAAAAACAATCTTGAGTGGATGTGGACTTTCCATGGGAGTAATGTAATGTTAGTTCTCTAAACATGAATGGAAGGCTAATGTCTCAAAGTTGTTTTTGTCTTCTACTTTAGATGTGAGGGAAAGTTAAAGGGTAACCATAAAACTTGGTAAAGGCACAGGCCCAGAAAGATGTACAGGCCTGGCTTGATAGGGCCTCAGCATATTGGCTACAGAGTCCTTTGACTTTGAAGTCTTTATTTCATTGCACTAATACATTTAGTGTCAGTGAATGAAGAAAGTATTAAACTTTTGTTTGGTGAACGAAACTATTACTATGCTTCCAACAGTATTAAAAGCATTATATTTTAAAGGCATTATACCCTGGTGCATGTTTTAATTGTTAAAATTAAACTCTTAAAATATTATTATAAAACTTTTAATTACTTCTAAAGGAATTCATTCTAACTGTTTGTCAGGTTTGAACACAGGACCCATAAGAAGGGCTATATTTTAGAACCTACACCTCAAATACCACTGAAAATACAGCATTTCCTGTACTTGGCCTAGTTGCAGATCCTTCCACATGACATGGGTCTCAAACAGTCTGTGCACTGTCAGAAACATTTGCATGGTTTGTCATTGGACATTTTCACCAAGAAAAAACCCTCATCTCTTATGGGTTTCACTTCCTGTGACATTTTCTGGTACTCTCAACTGCTTCCAGGTAACACCAGGGCAGCTTCCCAGGATGTACAGCTCCTGCTTAGCAATATTTCTAGATGACAGCACACTCAGCCAGCCTAATTGTGCCAACATAATACAATGGTGAGTACAAGAACATCGCTGAAGCCTGAATGAGATGCTCTAACTGCTAAAACATTTCAACCATGCTGGGTAATTCCAGCCAAGAAAAAATTCTATTCCTTGCTTAATTTAAGCCTTTTGGGATCAATGATACCTTTTGATTAAAAAGGCCTAACTGGAATTTGAATTTATCTTTTAATCTCAGACTTTATGGTAGAAGAGAACATCACATAGCAACTTAAGAATCCCAGGAAAGGTGGACTTCTTTTATATTAAGCATTGATGGTGTAAGGCAGTTAATCATAAACTGCAGATGTTATTTCTTTGTATATTGCAGGAAAAAAGCAGCTGTGTGCGAGTTATAGGTTTAAAATATTTCCCACTTGAGAAATGCCTCATTGATAAAGGAGAAGCTTTTGCTCTACTGGTACCACAGCACATCAATATTTGAATTTTCTCCATCACAAAAGAGCAATAGCATGACACATTCTGAGTGAGCAATACTATGCTAACGTGAGAAATACTCAGGGATCATAAACTCAGTAACATAACAGATTAAAGATACAAAATTTACATAGCAAGATAATTTATTCAAAAGGCAAAAGAAAGATAACTAACAACCCTGACAATAACCGGACTGGGCTCTTTAGACAACAATTCAGGGCCTTTGTTCCTGGCTGACTTTATTCGGTTTTAAGGATCCCTTGCTCCCTCGTGAACTTGCCATACCTGCACTGGCTCTCACAGCTGTCTTTGTATTACACAAAACCCCTTTGCTATGTCATTTGTTTGGAGAGCTTTGGATAAATATCTTTTGTCTACTTGACCCTGAAAGGGTCTTTTCTCCAAAGTGGGCAGTGGATTGCTTCTGAGAAGCCTCATTTATACTCAATATTCAGATAGGAAAGAGTCATGTGAGTGTCTACTGTAGCAATACCATGCCACTAGAGTGATAATATGGTGATCCTGGAGAGAATACATATGTACACGAATCTATATGTGTTAGTGCATAGGTGTGAATGTATATCGTGTACCATGTCTCCATAGAGTTGGTTAGCCCTGGCTCTCCTTCCCCTGAATTCTGAAAGTGCTAAGCGTTTGTGCTCTTGACTTCCTTTATACTTAGCTTGTCAGCTCTTTCTCTGGTTTCGGTGCAAGTGCAAATACTGTTTCCTGCCTTTCAATCTTCTCCTCTCTTGTCCATTAGACTCTTTCCAGTTCAAGTTTTCTACTAAATTCTTAACTTCTAGTTAGGATTAGCCCAAACACCTAAAAACCCCCTATTCTACTATTTCCCTACTTCATTCCCCTAACCTGATGGGTCATAGTCAAGAGATTCACAATGAAAATCCTGACAGGAATGCCAAGTTTCTTCAAATGCCAACATCCAATCACAGGTGCAGGGCTTCCCCATTGAATCAGGGTTGTGCAGGGAACATCATAAATGTCCCTGTGGATTGTGAGTTTTGGCTTTCACAATGCGGTTTGTATTTAGTTAGAATGGTGTTTCCCTCATTCTTATTCTCAGTGAAAAATGTAAACATCACAGAAATTACATTGGATTCTAAAGTGCCAACTTTTTCTTATCAGACACTCATTACTGAACTGTTACCTTGTCTCAGGACCTTTATTCCAACAGCATTAATTAGTTGAAACATAAAAAAATTTTAAAAAACATCAATTAAAAAAACTGAATTGGATGAGTCTCTCATTAAATTCTGTGGTTAAGGACAAGGCTAAATTTATAGTAACATTGGATTAAGTAATGATTCAATTCAGTTTGTGACCAAAATTGCAGGAAACATAAAGTCTGTGACCTGAAAAAGCACAACTATGATTTTCCTGTCATGAAAGGAATTGAAACAACCTTCTGTTTCATCAAGAAATTCATTATATGACTATTATCTTATGTAGCCATCTATGAAGTCTTTGCTAAATGTGCGTATTCAAGCAAGGCCCTAACTCCATATATAAAAAGCTGGTTTTCTTTGATTATGGCTGTCTGTTTCTTTGCAATTAAAAGCCTTGTGATGCTTCAATGTAGAATTAAGGACAGACTTTCAGGAATCATCTTTTTTTTTTTCTTTTCAAAATTTTATTGGTAAACAGATAGCAATGAGACAGTTTCAAATCAAATAGGTAGCACAGTTTCAATAACTAACACACTGCATATATTCTTCTTAGTGGTTAATTGCTGTACAAGATGTGGACTTGAGATCCTATTTACAAACACCATTAGAAAAAATCTTTCTATTCATTAAGAGAATGTAACTATATATTTATCCTAACCACTTTGAATACACAGATATAAAATGGACATTCATCTGTATATCCCTTTTTTTCTAAGTTTCGTTATTTGAAAATTGTAGGTGTGTAAACTCAGCAAAATATTCTAAAAGAGTCCAGTAGCCCATAATAGCATTGGGTCTTCTGTTTAACCTGCAATGTCAGAAATAATTGACCTGAGTCACCCACAGCTCAACATAACAACATGGCTTAACTTCCTATATTTCATCTTCATACTTTTCTACTGGATTATTAAGACCAAGGTAAGGCAGGACCTATGCAACAAGAGATGTAGCTTTTGGGTCTGAGAAGGTCAGTGAAATCCCTTCAGGATTTTTCCTGAGATCCTGTACCTAAGATTGTAGAACCTTTGTCAGTGTCAGCCATGTGGATGAGTCACGGCCATTGTTTGGCCAATGTGCTCTCTGTGAAAGCCGGAGAGAGGGTTTTCTCTCCATGTGACTCTCCTTAGGCACACTGTACGTCATCGATCTCTTTCCTCTTTACCCTCATAATCTTCTTGATCAGAAAATTGGGGACACTACCGAGATACATGACGTTATAGTACAAGTTCTCATATGT